AAATCAATTAATTTTTTTCGATGTTTTTGAAAATTATAGTTTTCGAAATATGCGGCGTTTCTTTTGCGGTTCAGTATATATTAGTTTGTTGATCTGAATATAGTATTTTCTTTTAAGTGTTAACTCTGATAATGTACGACTCTGATTAGATGTTTAAATTGAATGCTTGGAAAAAAATGGACATAAAATAGATACATATATTTATATATTTTCAATGATTTTGACGTGAGTAGAAACTTTGAAGTTACTAACCAGATTAAGGAAATGAACCGAAGAAAAGAACGTCCAGTACTTGATGTGTATGAGAAGAGCACCGTAATAGCATCAAATATTGCTCCATATATTAATACGAATTGAAAAACGCCATCTATTGGATCTTTGTAATCTATTCTAATTAACATCCAAACAAAAAAATTGGAAAACCAATAAGCTAAAGTTATATTAAAATTAAATACGATAAAAGAAATGAAGTACTTAGACATAATTATGATATTAATAGTTGAATTAATACTTAAAATCACCTTTCAATGACTATTTACCATGCTTCTCATTACAGCAACAAAATTGTTTAAGATTATTTGAAAACTGTACAATTATATATATATATATATGTAGGATGTTATCTGTTTATGTTTAACCTCAAAATACTACTGAACAGAATGTCACGTACGGCACTGAAACTTTTTTTTTATTTGTAAGCGTAATTACTGACCTATATATATATATATATTATTTTTCGCAGGGCCATGACACAACAGCAGTTGGGATCAGCTGGGCTATATATGCATTAGGTCTGTATCCCGACATTCAGGTGAAGGTCCAAGAGGAAGTCGACTCCATCTTTGGAGATGATCATGATCGACCAATAACAGCTGACGACCTTAAACAAATGAAGTACATGGAATTAGTATTGAAGGTAATGAAAGCGTGATTTTAAAAACACATAAGTGACTTTTTGGTTTTGCAAAGAGAACCTACATTGAAATTATGAAACTAAAGTCTGAAACTGTTGTTTTTTTCTCATCCTCGTAGCTCACCGTAACGGAAAACAAGTTTTTAGTTACATACATATAGATTATACAACCAAACACATCGACGGTTTTGTTTACGTCATATCTATGTACGTTAGCAGTGTTTTGTTCAAGGTCTGAAGCCAGCATGGAGGCAACTAAAAACGCCTTAATCACTATACCCAGTAATTAAAGACGCTTCTGCTTTACTCCAGCTGACAAGAAAACTGTTATGTACTAAATTATTTTGGATTTAAAATTTTTCATTTAGTTTTCGTACAGACATTTGAATGTAAATAGAAGTTATATTATTACCAACATTAAGTTATTCTAAATAATATTTTAAACGTCTCATGCTGACGTGGATATTATTAGTGATTTTGTTTCTACTATCGCCAAGTCATTTTACATATACAATGAGAAATAACCCTCTGAAAGAGAATTATGTATAACTTATCCTTCATAATGTACACATATATAGCAGACATCTAATATTATAGTGTCTGACAAAGTCGTTTTTAACTATTACAATCATGTATACCTTTCTTTATAGAGATAACTAATGATATAAAAACAAATATAAATATTTTAAGAGTTACTGTTCACTGAAGGAAGGAGGGTGCCACTAAGATCTTTATTTTAAATTTTTATGGAATGTAAACGTTGATGCTTTTAAAACGAAGATGATTTCAATATATATATTATGTTTAGTTTTTATTAATAATTTTTAATTATAATGGTACTCGAGTGTGGTTTGAGCTTGGCCCTGCGGTTAGCGTGCCAAACTATGGATCTGCAAGTTTCTCAAAACAAGTTAAAATGCTTTCCGAACGATGAGGTCGTGGATGTGACATTTTACTTCTAAAGTTCAAAACTCTTCACTGTTAATTTGAAACACATTTAAGTTTTTTTTTATTGTGCAAATTACTATCATCAATTAAAACTGGTTCTAAAACATTCGTAATGTTTTTTTTTTCAGGAAACTCAACGTCTCTTTCCTTCAGCTCCGTTTATAGCACGTGATCTTGTTGAAAATTTAAACGTCAGTAAGTAGATAGAGATAGAAATAGGTAAAATACTTAATATGAAGATAAACAAACGGATACTAGAAAACTGAAATGTATCTTCTAACCTCTTTAATTTATGTTACCCGAAGGTCACACTATGTGTTTGGGAGAGAACGTTCAGGCTCTCAAACAGTGTTAAACCTGCCTACCCAATCATGTAGGCCATGCATCAGCATGAATACAGAAGATGAGGTATCGCAGAACATACAGTATTATGTAAGTCATGGTAAACCTGTTTATCTCTAAAGGAGGAAACATGCTACTGAGGCTGTAAACCTATTATGGGCAGTATTGTGAGGCATATATTTTAGGTGTTAGAGTCTCGTAAAATCTTGCTAGATTTTTTTCAAATTTTGTGCACTTTGTAATAAGGTCTACTGGAAAAAACAAACAAAAAAACAGCACTCTACTACTTTTAATATGCGTCATTTCTAACATTGTTTGTTGTTAAGAGCAATGCTACACAATGGGTATCGAAATTCAATTTTTGGCGTTATAAGCATTGAGACTTACTGCTGGGCTATTGTTATAGGCGGGGGCAAACACCTACCACGTAACTCTTCTTGTTTGTCAGTTTATATTGTAAGAGGCTAGTTGTAAGCTATCGGCGTCTCTGTTTAACAGTTCTTCTGGTTGAGCACATGGAACCACAATACGAGTTAGGACACATCTGTAGAATGTTTTAGAAAGATAGTACTATGCTAAAAAAAAGTAGGAATATTGCAGAGTACTCTAGATATATTCTTCTTTGTGTATTTTTTGTTTTTCTAACTCATTTTTATTGGACACCATAAACTGTCGGTTTTGTTACTCTTCTCAGTTTTGCTAGTGATGGCGAGGTAGAAGCGAAACATCGAGGGAGTTAGCACTCGGGAAAATGGTTTGACGTATCATTAATTCTATTTCATGATCTTTGAGCTTTATAATCTTGTCCATTACCGATTCAGCGAGATTGAATCGTTGGTCAAGGTAGATGATTACAGTTAATACTTTATACATGTATGGCTAGCACAATATATAGAGATAAAACGGTACAGAGTTTCTAATTCGTGAAAAGCATAATTAAGTGTAGAGAGTAACCTAATTCTTAAGTTATCCTAAAAACAAATTGCTGTCAACTTATCACTAACGACTGGATCTTCAGAATATTTTATTCCCTAACCAATCGGGCCCGGCATGGCCAGGTGGTTAAGGCGCTCGACTCGCAATCTGAGGGTCGCGGGTTCGAATCCCCGTAACACCAAACATGCTCGCCCTTTCAGCCGTGGGGGCGTTATAATGTGATGGTCAATCCCACTATTCGTTGGTAAAAGAGTAGCCCAAGAGTTGGTGGTGGGTGGTGATGACAAGCTGCCTTCCCTCTAGTCTTACACTGCTAAATTAGGGCCGGCTAGCGCAGATAGCCCTCGTGTAGCTTTGCACGAAATTCAAAAAAACAAACAAACCCTAACCAATAGATGATTTTATCCACCCAAGGAAAGGTTAAATTACGTTGAAATACCTCTTTTGTTTGAAGTCAGAACACAACATGTATGATCTTAAAATTTTTTAAATTAAAGTTAATATAAAATTCTATTAATACCAATCATTATTTGATATCACTAGGTGACTATACAGTATTCTAAATTATCAATTAGTGTACATACCTTGCGTTAGATCAAACTTTTATATTCTTGTTATTTCTGTTCACTAGATGGCTACGTACTTCCAAAGGGAACGACCTGTATAATTTTGACGTATATGCTACATCGAAATGAAGAAGTATTTGCTAATCCGGAGAAATTTGATCCAGAGCGTTTCTTACCAGAAAATTGTGTTGGTCGTCACCCTTATGCGTACACCCCATTTTCCGCCGGTCCCAGAAATTGTATAGGTATGATTTCTTCATGTTTAAAGGGCCACCTTTAAAATTACAATTCAAATAATAAGGCTCAATTTATGACATTATAGAAACATTTTGCTTATTTTACCTTTTATGAAAAAAGCCACCAGATTCATTTATTACAAGTAAAATGTTTCGTATGTAATAACTGCTCTATTACAATAACATTTAAAGATTTTATACTGATAAGGTTTAAGATGTCATACAAATAAAATTATACACTGCAGAGCAATACCATTCATAATTCATATTCAAACGTTTTATAGTTTGTATGTGAAGTCATTTTGTTCAATCATCAGTAGCTTTAAGTATTCAGATATAATTTTTTGTATAGTATCAAATTATGCTAAATATATTTTAATATACCAGTTTTTGCTGTACATACAGAATACGTATTAAAATCGTAATATAGATTTGATATTTTAATTTGCAAGATACTCTATAAAACTCAATGTTATGTGTGTAGATGTAAACTAGGTGAATAAAATGATTTAATGTTTGATGTAAGCCACATTTTCGTCAATTTCCCAATTTTCTTAGAATACTTAAGACAATTGAAGAATTTATATTTTACGCTCATTTATGGTAATTAAATATTATTCATTGGATTTAAGATCTGTACGATGACAGAAAAAAATAGTATACTGTCGCAGGTACCTTATTTAATCAACCTTTTTAATAATTCATCGATGATAAAATTGAAGTCGCTTGAAACTATATACTTGACATAAACTCCACTTGTGGGTTAACAATACCATTTGGTTGCATTACAAAAATACGAGTTGGATTATTTCAGGGTCGGATGCAAGCCTGGATATTTATCATAATTATTATAAATAGAAATTTTAATTTTATAGTAGCGATTATCTATATTGTCACTATAAATTGCATTTTCTATTCGATTTGTCATTTATCTTATATTGTTTGACAAATATAACTAAGATCCTTTTATCTCACTTAATTTTAGGTCAAAAATTTGCTTTCATCGAAGAAAAAGTAATGCTTGCCACAATTGTTAGGCATTTTAATATCACGTCTTTGGATCAGCGAGATAAACTTGAAATCAAAATGGAGATGGTCCTGAGATCCAAAAATGGTTTACGGATCCGCATGGAAGAAAGGAGAAAAAAGTGATTCAGAACTATTTACTTATCTCCTAGTTTATGCTAACAGAATAGGCATGTCTTTCTATTACTGGTTTGTTTGTTTTAGAGTAAAGCCATATTGGGCTATTTGTTGTTTCTACCACGGGGAACCGAACTTTTTAATTACTAACGTTGTACAAAAATATAAATTAAAAACTATTAGTCTTCTCTCACGTTAATATATTTATTTTTGGCGAGCTTTGGGCATTTTGAGTTCAAGTATTTATGATTTACATTTTTATTAGATTATTCAGCTGTATTTTCATGACTCACCAGCGTATGAAAGATAATTTTTCCAACATGATGTGAGTGCTACCATCGTATTTAACATTCTCTAATTACTGGAAATGTACACTTTATAACTGTGTTTCACCGGTATATTATGATCAACAACAAGTGAACAATTTCAAACATTATTCTAGCAAGCTAACAATAAAACAAACAAAATGTCCTACCAGCTGATATATAAGTTAAAGGTGGTAGTTGGGTGATTATATTGTGTTATCATACTATATTGAAGGGGTAATATAGTGCTACCTCTTTTAAATGTTTGTAATGTAATTATATTAACACTTCTTAGATTTATATTCTTATTCTAAATTTAAGGGAACCTTTTACACAGAAGCTACTAGCACACCCACAATTAGCCGCGGACGCTGAACGATAGTCAAAACATTGTGGGTCTAAGAACTTTAGATTTATACTTTTTTTAAGTTATTTTTTCAGCTGTATTTTCATAACTCCCACGTGCGTTTGAGAGACGAGATTTTTCCAAGACTGTTATGATCGTAGTTATTCTAGAATCTAGAATTATTCGAATTGCACAATTTAAAGCTTTATGAAGATTGTATGTTTTATTTTTTGTTTGTGTCGTGCAACGTAGCGTTAATTTTATTTTATTGTTGTTTGTGCTGCCAAATACTTGCCCATATGTTGTTGATGACATACACACATGCACGTATATACACATACGTTAACATACAGTAACGTACATACTCGAAGACACAACTAGTGTGTATATAAGCTTCCTGACTCACCTACAAGGAAACCAATCCATTTTTTCCCTTTCAACTAACGCGGAAAGAAAATGAATTGATTTACCTGCAGGTAATTCAGAAACCCCATATACATACTACTAAGATACAATTGTAAAAATATACAGAATCAATCATCAAAAATCGGATTTATTTACCATCCTATGTTTACCCGATATAAGGATCGGAACCAATAATGTAAATCACAAATCTTCGTTTATTTTGAAGACAATGATATGATTCTTCTTATTATTTACAATCTTTCTTACCTTTATAAACAAGAAAAAAATCTTATATTTCATTGATATTTTCAATATCTTTCTCAGTTAATATTTTAGCAAATCGATCAGGCAGAAATATTTGGAATTCGTCCATTAGCACAGATACACCAAACCGAGTTTAATGTTTTTAGATTTGAAACAGAGTATTTATCTTCTGAGTTTAGTTCTGCTTACGAGTTTCAATATTAAATTGACCAATAGCGTTTAATTTTTTGTGCTTCCGTTTACTTACTACTACAAACAATGAATTTATTCTTGAATATCTTTAATTTCTTTAATAATTCTAATTTGCTCTCTAGAATTAATTAGAATTTCTGTCAAATAATTATCAATTTCATCTTTCAGCTTACGAGTTTCAGTATTATATTGACGAACAGCGTTAAGTTTTTTTAGTGCTTCCATTTATATAGTGATCTAATGTTAAAGTATTAATACCATCTGGTAATATATATATATCTTTTATCATCATTTGGACTTAATGCATTCTTATTAATTTGAATAGAGTATATTTCATGATTTTTACTTCTTATTAGATTCGTAATTTATATATTTCTTTCTGATCAAATAAACAATCCTTATATTCATCGAATGTAATTAATTCTATTTTTAACAACACATTTGTTTACACTTGTAGACTTCTTACTAATTTTATCTTATATTTTAAATCTAAGCCCTACAAATTCACCAACAATAGTACCCGACTTCACTCGGATTATTAGCTTGATATATTCTAGATGGCTAGGTCAGTCTGTGTATTCTTAACATATTTTAGCATAGTCAAAATATTTTAAACATATTTTTATTTCCCAGAAACACAAAAAGAGTCGTAAAGGTACGATAAGAATAATAAAATTATTATAGATAATTATAGATGCAACTATGCGTCACGTAATCTAACCAATATTAAAACCAGTGTGTGTCACATCACTCTTGATTTCTCGAAATAAGAGGGATCATTAAAGCCGAAATTCATTTATCCAGACAGAATAATTCGTTTAATGTCTGCCTATTACGATTTTAGTGACGCGGGTGCAAGGGGGCTTTGATGGGAGTTTCCGTGAAACTTTGTAAGTGTAGTGAATGTTGCTATTGTTACGTATCTGCTTGTTTGTTTGTTTCCGGTAGAAATTCTTACCGAGGATCTTCAGCGATACAAGGCCTTTCTTGCTTAAACCAGTTTAGTCTTCCTCGATACAAACTTTTAGTACACAGAAGTTCCACAATCAGTACGTTTCTCGTCACTTTTAATTTAACAACTTTTAAAATACACGCTATAAATCACAGCAATTCATAATCTCGATAACTTCTCTTTCGACTAGTGCAAAACACACGCTCTACGGCTCACTATCTCGAAACTATCAGAATCATAAATTACACGGAACTCAAAGTAACTACTGCTCTCTCTCTTTATTAACCCCGCTGGCTTTCCCTGCCAGGCTTATATACTAACGAAGAGGACATCTCGGACTTCCCCGATCATTCGAGAAACAAATGTGCCAGCAGCATCACGTGATTTCCGCTGTCGTAACATACTGAACTGAAAGTTAAATATAGGCTCAGTAACTGAGGGCTTTATCCAATAAGTGTGATTTTTTGTGTAATTTGTATATAAAACAGCTAAGATAAAACTAAATCCTCAAATGATAAAAGTTACAAGAGTAACTTTTCTCTATGCAATTATTATTTTTTCTAGTTCTCTATTATTGTGAGGTTTGTATATCTTTAGTATCGTCGGTTTGCAACGTGACAAAAACTTGATCAAGTAGAACAATCTAGTGACAATTACGAAAGTTATTTATATTCTGAAGACGTTCCTTTGTAAAAGTTGTTACGTTGTCTAAGAGTTATCCTATTCTGTTCAATTAATTTACCCCAAATATGGCAAAGAAAAATAACACTTTTAAAACAACTTGTTTCTCGGAACTTTAGTTTGTACAGAAAAACAGGATGAAATCTATATAAGTATAAGAAGTATCTCATGTATTTTTTCTCTAAGCATTTAGCTATATATCTGTTTATCTGACCGTAATTATATGCATGTGTCTGTTTATTTGTCGATTTATTTATTTATATGACTGTTGATGTCTCAAAATAGTATATAGAATAGCTTATACACATATGTTTTAACTGCTGTCTATTGGTAGTTATCTGTTTATTTTTTTATCCATAAAGTTTACCCTCATATGTATATGTATCCAGATAATTATCTATCAGTTTAACTACATATTCATTTGAATGGTAATTCTGTATGAATATCAATTTGCCTATTTTTTTCCTATCTGTCATAGTGAAGCATTTCTACTTTTTTTCCCCTATGCGATGGAATTCAGAAGAACGATAACAATTCTCAGTTGATTCAACTCACGAAAATTAGCTTTCCTCTCCTTTCTACTCCTCTTACAACTGATGACAGTAGTCTTATCATTAAGATCAGTTTTATGTTCTTTTCTTGTATCTGACACTGGAGAAGCCTGAAAGGTTTAACGATCGTAATAAACGCTTCTAGCCAAACAAAAAACTTTACAAAGATTGTTTGAAAAATTAAATAAATATACAAAAACAAAAAACTGAGTGCAAAGAAAATTAGATATGTTAAATGAACAGAAATACGAATTTTTTAGAGGAGTTGAAGTCAAGTCTTGATTAATTTTACCAAATTTCCAGGGTATAGATGAATATGAAGTTTACAAAAAAAGCCATTCAACATACATTTTCTAAAATTTTATAAAACGTCCTCTCAGTGTGGTTCAAGAACGAACTAATATGTTATCAGAACTGTGGTAAGAACGAATTAACAGTTTGCTTATAATTACATTAGGAACGAAGTAACAACTTTTCATGATTGCAATAGATTTGTTTGTTTGGAATTAAGCACCAAACTACACATTAGGCTATTTATGCTCTGCCCACCACGGATATTAAAACCAGGTTTCTAGTGTTGTAAGTCCGCAGACTTATAAGAGAAACGAAGTAACATATTTCTAATAATTGCATTTCATATCTGTTTAATTCGTTAAAATTAGAGTAAGGTTTGTATTACATTCATACACTAAATGTTCCTCTGATCTTTCCGACCCACAGTATGGTGTAGTAAGAAAAAGTTCTGTGTGAAATAATATATATTTTTAATAGACTGTGAACATTTTTATTGAGTTTGTGAAAGTGCATATTATTAGATTTTATTCATTTATTCTTTTACTTTCTGTGGATTGTTAAAAGACAGAATGGATCATTGTGATCCATCTCATTCACATTTCTAGAACGTAGGTCTTTATTCATCTCATATATTTAGTAAAACTCTCAAATATTATCCATCTCTTACACCTTAAATTACCTTTCTTACTCATATCACGAAACTATTCATATTTACTCATCTCACACACTTGTCACACTGCACATCATTTCACTTAATGTACGTATTTAACCATCTAATACGTCTATACAAACTACACACCCTTTCTCGTCTCGTAAGTTTAGAAAGACTGCACATTATTATCCAGCCCATACATTTAACATTCTTCATCTCATACATCTCGCTAGATTGTATTCATCCTTACTCATCTCATATATGTACAGCAAAATGTAACATCATTGAAAATCTCACATTTTTAGCTAGACTGACACCCTTACTCAAAACACACCTTTAGTTATATGTATGCATAAATACAGATTGACAACCTGAACCATCTAACTTTTCTAGCTAGATTATACATCCTTAGTCATCTCATATCTTTAGCAAGATATTATCTTTACACACCTTATACCTTCAGTTAAATTGGAAAGTGAAACTCTCTGGGTAAACGGTTAAGTCCTCTGTAATGTCAGACATTTAGCTAATTTAAATGCAATATCCTCATCCATGTCATATGTTTAGCTAGTCTCTAAACTGTTTCAAGTTCAGACATTTATTTCAATTTCTGTATTTATGTTTCAAATATTTATTTCCTCATATTCTCTCTATTCAGGTTCACAAATATTTATGTAAATTTTTGGAAGTATTTGGATTACTGTTTCGTTGAATGTTTATATTTTTAGCCATGAGCCAACTTTCATGAATACTCGTTGCTTTTA